TTTTTTTTGAGATATCCCCTATGACATACGCAATTATTCTTTCTTCTCGTTTCTTTTTTTTTTACTATGCCGTTGATTCACATTAATGTGCCCCAAGGCTGGATCTCGGTTGGCACGGGGATGGTATCCATCCAGTGATCAATGCATTATTGTTCGAATAGACCTGGCATCCATCGTCGACTCCTTGTTGTACTGTGTGTCCGTCTTGTTTGCATATAGATAGAGTAGACGTCAAGCATTTATCTAGCTTCATTTTTTGAGGGCCTACCATTTCCATGAGCTCGAGTTTTTATGAAATACATGTAGAAGGCAGATTGATCAAGCCGTGGTGGTTCGAAATGTTCGACAAGTGGCCCTATATCTCTTAAGGCTACGCTTTTGTTATAAGTTGCTTAACTCTATTAATATTCCAGTGATTCTACTTTCAAGGTTCTGGGATATATAATTGGTATTATAAGACCATGTTAGTGAGAAAGAGTAAGTAACTTTCGAAGTCACCTTACAACAACCTCCTTCGACTGACCCATGGTCCCAACCTCGACATCCTCCTTAGGAAAACCACCCCCTGCTTGAAGTCCAACATCACTTTCCCCAGTCTTATCGACCGTATCCCGGTACGCAGGAACAAAATTTACTGCCACGGCATACGTCCACGCAATTATCATGAACATTGTCGGCACAATCATGGCAAATCCAGTATTATTCCGCATATCAGCTACATGCCCCAGGATCGGGGCCACGACGGCACCACCGCTAACACCGGCGACGATGAACCCAGAACCACGCTTGTAGTGGCGACCAAGGCCGCGAATACCCAGTGCGACGATTGTGGGGAAACAGACAGATTCAAAGAATAGAGTGAGGAAGAGCATTGCTTCGATTTGAGATTTGTTAGTTCATGCAACATGGCAAAGACGGTTTATGGAAATGGCACTGGGGAGCTACGTACCTAGGCCAGTCTGGTATCCTTGAGTTGTTGACGCTGCTATGAACGCCACAGTGCAGGAAAGATAGACTAAGAATACCCAGCGAGCCTTGAAATATCTCATGAAGAAAGCACCTGCGAACCGACCGACGGCAAAGCCTCCTTGGGCGCCGGCCAGATATTTGGATGCGGTAGAATCCCCGGTGCCAGGCCACGTTTCGGTCACATAGTTGATGAAGTATCCGGCGATAGCCACTATGTGTTTTTAAGTTAAGTTAGATTAGTTCATGCCGTTTGAATGAGATGCAGCAAGTTCTACTAGGGAAAAAAAATATGATTTACTCACCCTGGGCACCGGTATAGGTGAACTGAGCTAGAGTGGCATGGAACAGTTTGTATTGTTTCCTGAAAGGCTTATCCTGCTCGCCAGCATGGGTGGAGGCAACCTGGAACGCCATGTCCTCATCTGTAACTTCAGGGATGTTTGAAACGAAAAAAACCCCGGCAAGAATAAACACAAAGATGCCGATAGCAAGGTACACCCATTGTACACTTTTGAGGGCATCTACGTCGTCACTGGTGTCGGTGAAGAACACATACGATGCTAAAGCAGGGGCGACGCAAGTTCCGATTCCATTGAAAGCTTGTGCGAGGTTGATTCGAATCTCTGCATACTTTGGTGGACCACAGACTGCACAAGAGATTTTAGCGTGAGACTTTGGCCAAGCGTGCACCCCTTCGGATGAGAACTTCGATGTACGTACCGGCAAGATATGGGTTGGCTGCTGTCTCGAGAGATCCCAAGCCCGAGCCGATGACGAGAGTTGCAGCGCAGAACCCTCCAAATGAGCGATTTAGGCCCGCGGGCCACATGCAGAGGGCACCAATACCGTAGAGAACCAATCCCATAATGAACACGGACTTGTATCCAAAATGACGCAGCATATAGTTCGCATATCCTAAGGATGCCAGCGGATAGGCCCTAGTCTCATGAACACATTATTTCTACTCGAAGTTATATGCGACATACCCAAAATACGCAGCCTGAAGACCAGCTGAACGAGTCCGAGTGATGCCTAGGGTGATCTGGAAGTGTTTATTGAGCGTATCCAGCAGTCCATAGGCGAACCCCTAACAGACCTTAGCAACCAGAAATGGTAGCTGTAAGACGGCAGCACTGCAAACTTACCCATAGAAAGAAGAGAATAGTTACGAGACACAAGGGCCACAGACTTTGGCGTAAAGTGAGGGTTGCTGCCGAGGTTGTCTTTCTATTGTCGACTTTAAACCCAGATCGGGTCTGCAGGAAATGTAACAACCCCATTGTTGCAACAAAACAAAAACAAGAGCGATTCCTTCAAGGTGTAGGATAATTGATCATAATGGCTAAAGATCTGCGGACGGGTAATGGTGTCACATCGATGTCCTTTTATATTCTTCCACAAGATATATGATGGTAGGCATGGGTGAATAAACCCTGTACGTGCATTCCCGGGTCGCAGACACAGACCCCGTCCAATGGTACCATCTTAATATATCCTACCTTGCTAAGGTCGTAGATCGAGTCATTCTTGGTAAGAAGGCCGCGAAGAGGGGCGGATGTTGTGGCCCTCATTGGGGGTAGAGAATAAAGTGATCCATCCCAGACTTTCACCCCGCAAAAGACAGCATCCAGTCCGGGGAAAAGATCGCCGGGTGAGTCCACCACTACTAGCACGAGAAGGCCATGTTATTAAAGGGCTTAACTTTGGTTCAAAATCGCCGAAACATTCGCTGATGGCTCTTGGCATGAAACCTTCCAGTTAGGGTTTCATTTTCAATTGCTTCCCCCGCATGGCTTTGCCTTCTCAGGAAATGGTCTTGGTAATTCGCCCACGCACGGCCTTCACTCATTTAGTCTGTCCGTCAATTAGCCTAAACTAAGCAGGCATAATAATTGATGATCATACTGAGTAGCATATCGCTCTCTTTTATACCGAAAAGGAGAAACCATATGGCTAGGAATGCGGCGATCCCCCCCCCCC